TCAAGATTATATATATATAAAAAGGTGGTTTTAATATTTAAAACCGCATTTAACTAGTTGGTCCAAATTACATGCTCCGTATCATGTAAAGTTGTAAACCAAATTGAACCAAAACAGCAAAAAGCATTAATGCATGTATGTTTTTCCATTCAACCATTTGATCAAATGAAACATACACGTGTCGATATAATAGAGGAGAGAGAAAAATAGTTGATAAAAAGGGTCCAAACTCTCTAGCTCCTGCAGTTACGTACAGTAGTCCAGAAATTTAGGGTTGTCAGCTCTAATTAAACACATGGTTTATTTCCTCACATAAATAAAAAGCCAAAAATTAGAAATCAACGCAACAGCGAACAGTACTCGGTAGTCAGTATTTTGGATGGAATTTGGGGAGCGTTTTGATCCAATAATAATTTGGAAAAATTGACCGCAATATTTCCAACTTTGCTCGATTCGCTCAAAATAATTTCAACTTTCAACTATTTTTTAATAATTCGAATTTTAACTCAAATTTGCTTCAAATTGTCCTAACAGGTCACCAACCTACGGTAACTGATTTCTTATGTCACGTGTTGCTTTCTAATTGGTTAAATTTATTTTTTTAAAAAATATTATTATGATTATTAAGAACTAATTAAGCCTACAAAATAATACTTCCTCCGTGTTTTAATAAGTGTTACACTTACTAAATGCGGCCGTATTTTAATAAGTGTTACACTTCCTTTTTTGACAAAAAGCTACATTTAAATATAATATCTCTCTCCTCTCATGGTCCCCATCCAAACCCACTACTACTTTTTTTATTATTTGTTTCCTCTCACATTTATTATTTTTCAATAAACTATTAACCCCACTATCTTTCTTTTACAATTTTTTAATACTTTAACTACCCCACTTACCTTTTATTTTATTTACGTCAATTAAATTGCCTAAAATTATGTGTCGGTCAAAGTGTAACACTTATTAAAACATGGAGGGAGTAATTAATAATAAAAAAAAATTAACAACAAAAACACCACCATTCTCCCCCAGCTGCAACCTAGACCCCCACTGCCGACGCCACCCCACCCCCACTCCTAGCCGGAGCCCAGACCGCCCCTCCCTCTTTCCCTTGAACCACCAATCTCGAACCCCATCCCCCACCCTTTAACCCCCTTATCTCCCCTAGAAAAACCCATCCCTTACCCATGGAATCCCCAACCGCCCCTCCACCACCCTTGAAAACCCTAGCGCTAGGGTTTTCGAGGGTGGGGGGAGGGGCGGTTGGGGATTTTAGGGGTGGGGGATGGGTTTGAGAGGGGTGGAAGGGGTTACAGGGTGGGAGGAATGGTGGTTTAGGGGAAAGAGGGAAGGGCGGCAACGACAAGGGTATGTAGGGGAAAGAGGGTAGCGCCAACGGGGGAGGGGGATGGGTTGGGCGGAGGTGGGGGGATGGGTGTACTGTAGCTGAGCGGGAGGGTGGTTGGTGAGAGAGGTGGTTTTTTTTTTAATTAATTAATTACTTAATAATAATTGTTATAATTATTAAACTCGTTATAAAAAGGTAAGATTATGATCAGTTCACCTAATTTAATTATTTTATTTGAAATTTCTTGATTTATTTGATGATCTGATTAGATTTGACGTCTAAAACAAAATTGTATACTATATATGGTATAATTTTCTCTAACCAAGAAGCAAACAAGAGACGTCATTTGCATCAATACGTGAAATCATTTTCCATCATACAGTGAAAACCAAATGTCAAGTCTCAAGGGAGACATTCTAGTGTGAAGGACGGGGTAGAGGGACCGAGGAAATGAATGAATCTTGACATATTAGGCCTTGTTTGGTTGACAATATAAAATGGAAGAAGTGAAAATTTATAGGATTTGATAAATTGAGAAGTTGTTTGGTTGACACAAAAAAGCAAAAATAGAGGAAGTGAAAATTCATGGGAATTTCAACTTCCCACAAAACAAGGGAAGTAAATTACCTAGCCCCCCCTAGGTCAATCAAAATTCATGGGATTTCTAAATTCCAACATTGCCAACCAAACAAATTTAGGAAATTCTTAGGAATTTCTCGAGGGAAATAACTTCCCATGAAATGCAATTTCCTATAGGAATTTAATTCCCATGTCAACCAAACAAGGACTTAGTATAGTAATCTTGAGATAAGGCAGCTCAACTCAGCACACAGCCACACACGTAACATTTAGAATAATACTTACATTTGAAACTTTTGATATAATTTTACTTATAAAATTAGTCTCAACTTTTACAAATTGATAAACTTGACACTAATAATAGTAAAATAATTCTTTAAAGTTACTGATTATTACGTATTAATTTTTTTTATTAATTTTTTTTTTTTTTTATATATATTTACTGAAGTGAAACAATTTTTGCTGAACTCAATTTATTTTTATTAAATTAAAATTATATTTACCAAATTTTATTTGATAAAGAGAACAAAGCCTTGATTTATTAAAAATGTATATTCATTAATGCTGGCGTAAGTAAGTTTATTAGAGAAATCAGACTTTTTCTTGGTTGCCTAATCTATGAATGCATCTTTTGCAATGAAATGACAACTTCTCAAATCATCTCTTAATAGTATTACAAAATGAGTGGTTTAGATAAAATCAAAGAGTAAATGTCAAGATATTTTTTGGGGTAAACGTTTCAACAACCTTGAAACGTACGTTGTTCTTTTAAACATTTTACACATGTTGAAGATTAGCCAAGAAAGAAAAAGAGAATAACATGAAAGGACCACTTTTATTGATCGATTGGGAGGATATAATTCGGCTATGAATTTTATGCAACTGAGTAGATATTATTCGGACACTTTTTTTTCAACTTTATTTACAAAAAATTTACTGCTTTTGCGAATTTTAGGATTCTAACTTTAATACAACTAGGATGACTAACGTGTACAATATGTGCCATAGTTAATCATATTTGGGGAGCTCTTTCATTTTGACATTATGTCACAATTTTATTTATTAACTTTATTAATAAGGGTAAGTATGTAACAATTATTTTTAGGAGCATAAATGTCGGTACAATATTCTTAAGAGTTTAAAAAATGACACAATTAACATTAATGAAGGCAAATAAGTTAATAAGTATTTTAAATGGTATAATTGTCCAAACACTATTCATAAGAGTTATCTCAAACTTTTTATAAGATAAGAATAAAGAAACAAAATACGAATCCATTTAATTTTTTTAAAGCATATAATAATTGCAAAAAATTTTGCATGCCCCCGATTTACAATAAAGTTATTGTAAATCCGGCGGCTGGCACGTGCGAGCATTTTTTTTAAAAAAATTTCAAAAACAAAACACGCGATAACTCACACCTCAAAGTTAGAAAATGTAGAACAAAAATGGAGGAGAGAGAAAGTGAGAACATGCAGAGAGAAAACGCGAAAACTCATACCTTAGCGCTTCGATCATCAATGGAAAATTCATCAGCAAACTTCAATACCTCAAATTGCAGTAATCTAATCCACGAATTACTACAAAAACAGAGGCAAATTGAAACTCCAATTTTAGGTAATTTTGAGAACTCGAATTCTTTTGTTGAAATCAATTTAAATCGCTCGATTATAGAAGAAGAAACAAAGAGTTTTGGCGATAATTGCAATCCAGAAGAAGCAGACAATGTAGAAGAGAGAGAAAATCAAGTTGTCTCTCATAAATCAATTGACTCAAATTCAGAAGAAACATCTAAATTAAATGCAATTGAAGGTAACATCCAATTCATATTGTTTTATTTCAATTGTTGAGTAACCAAATTAGTTGACTAAGGAATCATAATTGTTATTTTTTGATATGAAATTATGTTACCTGTATGAATGCACGAATTACTCTTGAGAAAATTCAGAATGCACGAGTTACCCTTTGTATGCACAAATTTTACCCTTTTTATGCATATAAGTGACCCATATAACACATATTATTACTCCCCTTCACATTGATTTATAAATAGAATGACATGCTACCTCTGGTTGTCTGATATGTCTGAATTAATCCTTTGGTACGAGTGCTGTGTGAATATTATGCTAAAACATTATATTAAATCACAGATGCAAATCCAATTGACGCCTCTGGTTTAGACCTTAGAGGATCATTTGTTGGTGTGGTAAGAAAATCTTTTGCAGAAATTTTGGAATTGTATGAAAAACATGCTGCTATACTGGGATTTTCAATAAGAAAGCATACAACAAGATACTTCACACACATAAAGAAGTCCAAGAGAAGAAGTATGTGTGTTCTGTGGAAGGAAAGAGAAATTCAGGTGACAAGAAAACAAAATTAGTTGAAATGGTTGATGAAGAGAATGTAAACGTGAAAACAAGAAAGCTAAGACAAGTAGCCATTACACGATTTGATTGCAAGGCATGCATAAGAGCGAAAGTAAATAAAGAAGGACATTTTGAGGTGGTGGCACATGTATTACAACATAACCATAAGCTAACGAGGTCACGGTGGCATTATTTGCATCATTCTAAAAGAAAAATGAAATAAGAAAAAGCTGAAGCAATCAAAACAATGAAAGCTTCAGGTCTGACTACAATGGACACTTATAATTACATGTCTACAGAAGCTGGGTGGAGAGCAGAATGTAGGGCATAATGTTGTAGGTCACCTGAATTTCTGCTCAAGGTTAAGAATGGAGCAAATTGAGGCTGGAGATGCTCAAACTTTAGTGAACATTTTAACTAAGGAACAATCAAAGGATCCAAACTTCTTTTTTAGAGTGAAATTTGACAATGAAGGAAGAATTTCTAACATCTTTTGGAGAGATTCAATGATGCTAGAAGACCATAGGATATACGGAGATGTTCTTGTCTTTGATACAACATACAGAACCAACCGACATAATCTTATATGTGCTCGTTTTGTTTGCATAAACAATCACTGGAAAAATTGATGTTTGCATGTGCTTTTATTAGGGATGAAAAAACAGAGTCATTTGTGTGGTTACTAGAAAACTTTTTGAAAGCTATGGAGGGTAAAACACCAACCTCGATATTCACTGACCAGGACCAAACAATGTCAAATGCAATTGAGTAGGTAAAAAGTTTATATTTACATATTACCCTAAAATATTTTGATTTCAAAACTAATAATTCTGACAATATACAACATTTTATTTTGAATGTAGGTGTTACCTAATACAAGGCATCGACTTTGTATATGACATTTAGAACAAAATGCAATCACAAGATTTGGGGCTCTTAAAAAAGATAAAGAGTTTAAGCAGGAATTCAACAAATGCTTAAAGGGTTGTGTGACTGAACAAGAATTTGAAGAAAGGTGGCATGCAATGTTACACAAATTTGAATTGACAACACACTCTTGGTACAAAAGAGTGTATGAACTCAAAGAGAAATGGTGTCCAGCCCTTAATAGAGATTTCTTTTCAGCAAGAATTCTTTCATCACAAAGGAGTGAATGAAAGCAAAAATCATGCAATAGGATTCAATTGAGCAAGTAAATCAATTACCTTGACAAAATTATATACCATATTTAAGAAGACAATAAATCGTTGGAGAAGCACAGAGAAATATGATGAGTTCACCTGTATCAAGTCAATAGCATTCACTTCATTGCCACTCTCCGAAATGTAAAAGCATGCTGCACAGGTAAAAACTTATATTCAAAGTACATAAATAACACAAAATATATAGCAAATTAACAGTAGCTACATGATTTTGGTGCACAGGTTTTCACTTTGTCACTATTCAGAGGTTTTAAAGAGGAGTTTGGATACTATAAGGCAACAACTGTTTAAATGATAGGGAGAACTGAAGAATATGTACTTTATCAAGTATTCCTAGAAGACATGCCATGGTCTGCGCATCAAGTAAACTATATACATGAGAGCCAAAGTGTGTGGTGTACTTGCGAAAATTTTGAAGCAACTTGATGGCTATGTTATCATTGCATCAGAATTCTACATTTACCATCAGTTTCAAGAATACCAGAAAAGTATGTTACAAAAAGATGGACTAAGTTTGCAAAATCAGAGGCATGGAATAGGTTGAAGAATCAAGATCCCACACAACCATATATACCATGGAGGCAAACAATGATGAGAAAATACTATAATTTAATCTTAAAAAGTCAAGAAAATGAAGAGACAAGAGCATTTATGGAAGAAAGCTTCAGAAATAGCCTAAAAATGGTGGAAGAGTTTCTTGCTAATGCTGCTCTGAGAGAAGAAGGTGCTGAAGATGCTTCTGACATTCCTGATGTGGCAGAGAGAACTCTAAGCAATAATGATGTTTCTTCATCATCCAGTACAAGTACAAGTGTACCAACTATACTTGATCTTAAAAGTGTTGTAACAAAAGAAAGAAGCAAGAGAGCAAAAGGAGGGCTTGAAAAGGGGAAAAAAAAAAAAGAAACTAGCACTGCTACCTCCAAATTCATAATTTGGATCAAAGACACCTAACATACGACTTTTCAAGAATTTTTTTCTACCAAAGTTAGAGCAGTTTTTTAACATTATTATTATACTTTGTATTGTTATACTATTTTTTCTTTTTTTACTCTATATATAGTTTGGTTAAAATTTAAGTACTAATTTCAAGCTTTAAATGATATTGTCATTAGCACAATAGTGAGAACATGTTGCTATAGTGGAAACATGAACAGAGTAAGAGAAACAGGGAAAACGCATACCCTATTGTGCACAAAGGTTAAACTTTTGTGAACATACGTTACGCTTTTTATGCACAAAAGTTACCCTTCAAGTTCACATAAAGTTACCCTTTATGTGCACAAAAGTTACCCTATGCAAAAAAGTGACCCCATTAAAAAAATGAAGTTACCCTATTTAGTGCATAAAGTAACCCTTTTAACTGCATAAAGTGACTCTTTTTAGTGCATAAAGTGGCCCTATTTCGTGCACAATTAAAAAGAAAGATATATACCAATAACATTTCAAATTACTTAATGTATGCACATACATTCAGTTTAAAAAAAAACCACCAAAAACTACATTCAATTTTCAAAAATAACCACCAAAAACTATACCATCGAAACTTTAATTACATCATTATACTTGATGTATGCACATACATTGAGTTTTCAAAATATACTACTCCTCCTAATCACTAAGTCAGTTCACTCTTTAGAAGGAGTGTACTTCTTTGTCGGCTTTTTTGTCCTTTTTTCTTAGGGATTCTCTTCTACCTTTGCCTGTGCTGCTTTCTTTTTCTTCTCAGCGATTGCAGCCTTTCTTCAATTAATTTCCTTGACATAATCAGCATTTTTCTTCCTCTCATTGAACTTGGCTACTTCTGCCAAGACGTCTACCCTGTATTCATTCATATCACACAATACAAGTGTATGTGGTATAGATCTGTCCACGCAGATATTTTCTTCCAGCAACCTCACAACAGAGAAATAAAAAACTTATCAATATGAAAGAACTTAAACATCAGAAAGGGAAAAAAAAAAGACAAATAGATGAATACTTACTGTTTTGAGTTCATTTAATATGAACGATTCACCAACAAAATGGAGCATGTGATACATGACATACACTCCACAGTGAGTGTTGTCAATCTTGGTCTTTCTCCATAGTAAATCAACAACTTCCTTTAAACTCATAGAAAGGTAGTTGCGTACTATTTGGATGATTTCTTTTTCCAAGAAAATCACCCAATTGATCACACTGATAAAAAAATATTAAAGTTAAGAATGCATTGAATACAAAAAAAAAAAAAAAAAAAAAAAAAAAAATTGAAATTGAAACAATAAACTTGTATATACACAAAGCATATCACTTCTCAAAACACATGAACATACTAGATGAAAAACAACTTTTCAAAGTACTCAAGAGTAGTATCACACCAAATAATATTATCAAGATAGTAAACCAACACTTTTGCATGATCAACAACAAACAGAATGTAGTGTTCCTCAACAAGAATAGGAACATTGATATGAAACAGTAAAATTAAGTGCTTTAATGAGAATTTCACAGACATAACTCTTTTCAGGGTATGATATTAGTTTAGCATGAAATATACCAGTTCAGCATCCATTATATCACATCCAGGATTCTCGTAGCAGATCCACCCTTCTCATAAATCGTGCAAATCTTTAACAGGACCAGAATTTTCACCTTTTTCAAGCTCATAAACATACAACAATGCAAACTATTAAGGTATAAGGTTAATATTAATATTAATATTAATATTAATATTAATATTAATATATATATATATATATATATATGCATCAAGTTACTTACACTTTGCCTCACACCAAAAAAGAATCTTCGAGGACTAGAAGACTCAAAACATGCTACCTCATTCAAATACAGAGCATAGAAATCAACAATGCACCATCGAATCATAAGTGGAGATGAAATGGACTCCATATCTTCTCTCGGAACTAGAAAATTCATCCCAAAAGTTACAAGGTTCTCACTGCAACGATAAAAAATAAGATAAGCATTAAAAAAAATCAAGGAAAAAAATACGGATAAAAGAATATTTATGACTGAAAATGACACTTAACTTCCTATTCATTGATTCATCCTTCAGCAAAGAACAATCAAGAACTTCCAAATGTAACTGAGGCAAACTGTCGAAAATCCGAGCATTACCCCTCATAAACATAGTCACAAAAGGCACCTTCTGACCTACTGGCCCAAAGTCCAGTAAACATAAAGTTTTATTGGATCTGATAGGCTGAGGAACACCTTGATTATTACCAAGTTTAGGAATATCTGGATTATTACCAAGGTCAGGAACATCTTTATTATTAACAAGATCAGGAACATCTTCTTCACGATTTGCTTCAACATGATTTGTTGCATTAGGAATGTCAAACTGAAAAAACTCATGTGCAGACGACTTCATCTTCATACACTCCTCAATTATACCATCTAAAAGCTTATGATAATGAGGATCAGAGAGTAATTGTTAAGTTTGAGAAACTGCTACAGGATACTCACAAGACAATGAAGTAGTTCTTTCAGAACGAACATTGGTAACCAAATCACTCAAAGTTTTAAAACCCTTTGACTGAACGCTTGAAAAAACATCCATATTTCTTTTAAGCAAAAGAAATGATTCATGAACAACCTATAAACAGAGAAACAAAGAAAAAACTAAACAAATGTAACAAAGAAAAATAATCAAAAAGTTACTTAAACTGAACATTTAGAGTAACTTAGTGCACATAAAGAGTAACTTTTGTGCACATACAGGGTAACTTTTATTAGAATAAAGGGTAACTACTAAACAAAAAAAATACTTACATTAGTTGAAATTTGTTTGATTTCATCATCAGTCATGACACCATCTGGAAGCTCAAATTGAACAAAGCGGTCAATTGTACCACTCGAACAAGCACCACCAACATTTAAACCACCTTGATCAGATCCCAAAGTAACAGGTTGCTTAACAGCAGTTTGGTTAATTGAAGAATGTGACAAAGGATATGTAGATGTATCCAATGGTCCATGCCCAAAACCACCAGCATTAACCTCTAAATTAATCCGACTCTTAACCTTAGTATCTGTCCAATGTTGAATCAAAGGAAGGCTACAACTTTCCTTTTGTCCTTGAAAGTTTAAACGATGAAAATACAAAATTTGCAAAACCAGCAAACACCCACTCACGCTTTGAACAGTTAGATCCTTGTTATACTTATCAACAGAATTTTTTTAACTTCCTCAAAAATTAAGAACACCAATCAAAAGTTTTTATTTCATCAACTTCTTCAACTGCCTTTAGCAACTTCAAAGAAACTTTCCTATTAGGAGTAGGAATTAAAAAGCTAGACATAGCATGAACCACAAAAAACCTCTTAAATGCTACTCCTCCATCAACGAACTCCTACATCCGAGACTCTAATTTTGCCAAAGGAATAGATTGCTTAACAGAAACATCAAAATCAAATCTCCATACCTGAAGAATATAGTTGTCTACACTTGGAACTTCAACATTTTTCTTGAGTTCAGGAACGTGAATATCACCCATAGGCAAGCAAAATTCACCACATACATCATTCTTGGTAACTACAAAATCTTTACCACTACCAACGGTAAACATGCAACTACCACCATTAAAGTTTTCAACAAGCCAAGGTAGCATTTTACGACAGAGAGTTTTTAATTTTAAATGTAACAAACCGCCAAAACCAACTTCAACAACAACTTGTTTTTGTTTATCACTAAAGTTCTTCACCAAATTTCCCAAGGTATATGGTCTACACCTTGCCCTCAAAGGTATCTGGACCCTAAATAATTAAAAAAGAAAAAGTAACTAAAACAATATAGACTTCAAACAAAATATAATAAAAAATGCAAATCAAGAATCATTGAAAACATGTTCTCTTGCACTGAAGTATCAGAATCAGAATCAGAATCAGAAACCAATTCCAACTGAGAACTCTTCTTTATCTTCTTTGCATCAGGTACTGTTTTGACATTTTTACGTACTGTTTTGACCCTCGTAGGTACTAGATTACCCTTAGCAGACTCTTCAGGTACTGTTTTGGCCTTCTTAGGTATTGTTTTGACCTTCGCAGGTACTAGATTACCCTTAGCAGACTCTTTAGGCGTTATTGCTTTTCCCTTTGAAGACACTTTATAACGATATCCACCTATAGAACCACCTATATCAAATAGTTATGCATAATGATTAACACAGAGATAAAAGTTACCACGAATTACTAATTCACAAATTACTCTTGAGAAAATTCAGGTTGTATGCAAAAAATTTACCATTTGTATGCACAAATGTTACCCTTTTTATGCATATAAGTGACCCATATACCATATAGTATTACTCCCCTTTACTTTGATTTCTAAACACAATGACATACTGCCTATAAATTCTCATGCTCTACCTAAAAACCAAGATCAATTCCAATTATCATACTCTGCCTAAAAACTAAGCAAAAAATTAAATTACAAACTCTAAAAATAACATGCACTAGTTGTAGGACATATAACAACACATTTTTAAGCAATTAAATACAATAAACAAAAAAAATAAAGCAAAATTAAACACATTTTCAAAATTAAATTCCAATTATCATAATCTGCCAGAAAAAAGCAAAAAAATTCAAGAGAAAATTCTGAAAATAACATGCAGTAGCTGTTTGACATATAACAACACATTTATAAGCAATTAAATACAATAAACAAAAAAATAAAGCAAAATTCAACACAATAACTTCAAAATTCAATTCCAATTATCATAATCTGCATAAACAATAAGCAAAAAATTCAAGTGCAAACTCTGAAAATAACATGGACTAAAAATTAGACATATAACAACACATTTATAAGCAATTTACTTGAAAATTCTGAAAATAAATCCTGAAAAAATTAAGAATACAAACCTGCATCATCTGACGACTTCTTTTTACTCTTCTTCTTCACCATTGCAGAATACGAACACTACAAAAAAACGAAATCAAAAAAAA